AGGAAGAACCATGCCAAGAAGAGTCTTATTCTATTATGAAAGAAGTTGCAGGAGTAAAAGAGTGCAACAAGATGTTGATAACAGTTGAAGACAATAAAGGCAAGATGGTGAAGACTTATGGCAGTGAAGATGTCTTGAAGAAGAAGACGACAGTTCCTCATGTCAAGTTTGATGAGAGTTTGAATTTGACACATGTTTATTTTTATTGAAGTTTGCATCGTCAGTACTATGACGACTATCGAGATTGGTTATCCAATTGAGTGAGTTGAGAGAATTTGAGTCAAAGTGGAGATTGTTAGATAAGTGACTTAAATTGGTTTTGAAAAAGTTACTATTTTGTGTTTTTCAGTAAGTTACTGTTTTTAATTTTTGGGCAAGATTTATTTTATGGTTTATCAGGAGTCTATAAATAAGCATTTTGTATAAGGTTTTATGTGTGTGCTCAGAGAAAAGTTTTAGAGACAACGTGTCTCCTTTTGAGAGAGAGAGAGAGAGAGAGAGAAGTGAGGATAGAGATAGGTAATGGTGTAAGGGGTTTTGGGTAGAGAGAGAAAGTGAGAAAATTTGTTGAGTATGTAATTCTGAAACTGTTAGTGAATTTTTATGCCTCTTCTATGGACGTAGGAAATTTTTTCGAACCACCTAAATCTTTTTCTTCTCTATTTTTTTGTTATTTTTGTTTCAATTTATTTTTCTGATGCATGAATGTAAGGGTGTGTTTTTTCCAATATATATATATATATATATATAGATATGATATGCTTTGTATGCCTTGTTAATACCTATATTCTCTAGGCATAACAGAGGCTTAAAGATAATATATTCTACTATGTGCTTTGTGGATTTTTGTATTAATATATATTAAATTAAGCAAACGCATTATATGAAAAGGATCAAAATTGATGTTTGTTAATGTGGGATTTTCCAAGTTACTCCGAATGATGATCTCAAGGTCAAGACTCAAATTGTGGATTTATATTAATTTATGGGTAAACTAAGCAAACGTATATAGAATATGAAAGGATCAAAATTGATGTTTGTTAATGTGGGATTTTCCAAATTACTCCAAAATGATGATCTCAAGATGAAGACTCGAGAGCATCATAGTGGATAGTGAATGCGTGATTTGGAGTATGTCCACAAATCTTAAGAAATGTCCACAAATCTTAAGAACACAGGGCCTTGATAAGAAGGTCTACCATTTCAAAAGTGGTGTTGTAAGTAAGAAGAATATACTTGTTTTGTTTGCATCAATAACAACAAATTCGGTGTCTCAAAATAATTTCATTTTTCTTTTAATAAAAAGTTATTTAAATCATAGATGATAACTGATGAGGACATAAAGGTGTTTGATAAAGAAGAGCTGGATATGAAATGATGGCTTTGTCTTTGTCCCTCCAGCATATTAGAACTCATCTGTTTGGGACTATTATGGTCCGGATTCTGTTAAAGACCCTTTTTTCATTCACAAGCCACAATATATATATATATATATATATACATATTTATGTAGGATGAGGTTTAGGTCACACTTATAAAATAATTGCATAATTAACTGTTCTATGATGATGTATAGCATATGGGTTGAAGGAGTCTTGAATCAATAGGGCATTTGTGGGGTAGATGGAGTGGGCCCATCAATGATTGTTCTAAAATATAATCAAGTATCACATCCACCACATATTTTCTACATCATAAAATCCACCCATATTCATATATCTTATAGAAACGAATCCCATTCAAGAAAAAAAAAAAAGAAAAAGAAAAATGTTACGTGTCACGATTGCACAATCTAAACATTCGATCACATAAATCTCTATGTGGGGCCTATAGAAACTGACGATCCAGATCGTGCATTTGCACAGCATTCCTCTTCAAGAAATCAACATTGATTAAAACCTTATTATCTTCTTTCAACCCTAAAAGAAAATTGAAATTAAGAAGATGCAAACTATATTTGATGTTTGAAGGGGTTATTCTATCAAAGGCACCAAATAATTTCTAGTGAAGCAGGTGTTATATGGGCTTTCAAGGAAACCCTTTTCTTTCCTTCCAAAATTAATTAAAAGAAGGGAGAAAGAGAGAAATAGGCTAAAATTTAAGATGAATTAAAATTAAAATGTCAATAGTTTACATACGTTAATAAATATGTCAAATTATTATTTTTGTCTATAACTTGTCTAGTTATCAACCATAACTTGACAAGTTATTGTCCATAATTTACGGTTTTTATCCATAACTTGTTTGGTTATGAACCATAACTTGACAAATTTATCCATAACTTATCTGATTATGAATCATAACTTAACAAGTTATGACTTATTAATTTTTATAACTAAAAATTAACCTATATACTTTCTTAAACTTTTCATATTGATCTATTTTCTACTATTTTTGTTAAAAAATGTAAAACAAAACAGTACCTCTTTTTTTTTCGTCCCCTCAATTCTCAAAATTGTTTGTAAATGGCAATGGGGCATCAAAACCGGTCCCACTGAATTATGGAATCGCTTGCGCTGTGGATAAAGCTGAAAAAAGGACTACTATGTGTTACAAGTGATTAGCCTATTTCCACCCAATCCATTTTCCCCTCAGATTATTATTCTGTCCCTGTTTTCTTTTTCTTTTTTTTTCTTTTTTTTTTTTTTTTTCTGATTGTGTCAAACATGGCCCTACAGAGAACTGCACCTTACAACTTTTGAGTTTTGAACATGGGAAACAAACAAATTAAATAGCCATACATGCATACATATATGTGCAAATATACAGAGAGCAAGGGAATATTTATAATCATTTGGATTTGTCCACCCAAGAAGCTCACGGAAATTTCCAAGCATTGGCTTCTATGTGGGGTAACTGTAACGGTTCCTTCATGTCTTTTAAATGGAAGAGCCAAAAACTCCATCATACACACATTCATAAATATATATATATATATATATGTATTGTCTACATACATACATAAGGACTTTTTGTAGCATCGAGTTATGTACAATCCATCTTCAAATGCTATATCTCAACATAGGTACGAGGCTCCATTAGACATGAGTGCAAAATGTCGTTTTTTTTTTTTTTTTTTTTTTCTCCTATATGATATTTCGCTACTTCAAATGCATATCCATTTGTCGTCCCTGCGTTACGTATTCAATACGACATGTCCTCTATTCCACTGTTAAATAAATACCTTGTTGTCGTTTTAAACTCATGCGACATGTCCTTTGGTTCTTTCGCGTAAGAACATATAAATGAACCTTTTGGTAGGGATGTGCAAACTAACCAATCCACTTATTTTGGGTGATATGTAAACCAAACTACTTACAAATTGATTTAGAAATTTTTAAATCAAACCAAACCAATTAAGGAATCTAATCCAACCCAAATCAAACTAAATTGATTGTAATTAGTTTTATTTGATTTTTCTAATTAGTTTGAACTAAATATTTTACAACCTTTTTTCAAGTTTTAAAACACAATAATAAAGCCTCAATCATGGATACATTTAAACAACATTAGTTATGACTTATGATTGAATATGATATTCAACTTTTATAATCATGATTGAAGATGATATTCAACTTTTATAAATATATGAAAGAAAACGAATAAAGGCAAATTAGAGACAAATAGAGCTGTAAGTTTGGGCCGGGCTAAACGGGTCGGGCCGATGCCCGACACTGTTGACCTGGGCCTAGCCTGGCACTAAATATTTTGAGCTTCGGGCCGGACTGGACTGATTCTCTCTCCTTTAGGGCCGGCCTGGCCCAAACATCATATTTTTAAAGATTTTTTTTTGAAAATACCCTATAAAATTACAGGTCGGCCCTAAACTTTTTCGGCTTAAAGCCAGGCTGGACTAACCCTCTCTCTTTTAGGACTGGCCCGGTCCGGATCGAAATTTTCTTTCGAGCCGCCGGGCGGCCCAAACTTACATCTCTAGAGACACTAACTATTATAGAGACTATATTCACCTTAACAAAGAGGCAAGACTTTAGAGAGAATGAAGTTCAGAACCCAGAGGAGTAGAGAATGAGAGAAGAGGAGTGGAGAGAACTTAAGGGTAGATTGAGGAGGTAGTTTTAGTACTGTATATATAGGTTACGGTAAAAACTTGTAGAGTTACGATCATTGAATTTTGGAATAAACACATTTTTTAATATAAATAATTTACAGAGATATAAAATATATAAATTCAGAAAAATATGTACACATAGAAATTGGTTTGGTCTTTTAAGGGGTAAAACTACAAACCAAACTAATTTAATTGGGTTTTTAACAATTTAAACTAAACCAAAGATTTGGTTTAGTTTTCTTTTAGTTTGATTTGGTTTGGTTGGTTTATTGCACACTCGTACCTTTTGGGACTTTCTATCCTTGTAATAGTAGTTTTTACCTAATTTTTTTACATCTCAGTTTTCTAATGCATCAACCAATTATTGAAACTCAGTGGCATTCAGTTCAAGGGCAAAGCAGTAATCTTCTCACAAGGCTCTAGTTTGGCAAAAAGTAAATTAACCAAAATGTACACTCAACTTACTTATAAGTGACTTCTCATCAGAGAGAGCATTTAAATAATCTGATCTAATATCTCGGGGAAAAAAAAAATTGATCTAAATCAGTATGAGCTATTTACCATTCAAGTAGCACTTATAGTGAGAGTGATTTTAGACCCTTTCCTTTTTTTTAAGGGATGATTTTAGACTATTTCAAGAATGAGCCAGCACGCAAATTGCGTACCTCATTAAAAGAAATTTCAAAACTTAATGTTTATATCATGCTAAGTAAAGAACTTTGTCCAAGAAAAGAATAGGCCAAAATGAAAAAAAAAAAAAAAAAAAAAAAAAAAAAAAAAAAAAAAACCCACAGAAGCAAAAAGCAAAAGAGGGCTTTTGAGGTTATATTTTGATCTAGCAAAAGCTTCATGAATGCGAACGTTGTCCATTAATTGTCTATACAATTCGAAACAAATTACTTTCTACCTTGGTAAAAGCCGAGTCTCGCTTGGGAAATAAAAAGACCAGGTTAATTCTCTGCTTCAGCAAGGGCCATAATGCAAATATAAGCTCTAATGTTTATTGTTATTTATACATATTTGGTCAAACTTCAACTGCAATTTTATATTAAAAGAAACAAAAACAAAAAACAAAAAACAAACTGAAAAGAAATACATTGTTTGCCTAGTGAGATAGCTCATGTTACAAAAACGTCCAAGGGCATCACAGTGATCAATTTTAGATGGACCACGAATATTAATTTAATCGAACCCAAATAATTGAAGCAGGAATTCCAGGGTGTGGACGAGGAAAGCAAAGTTGACAACTTGCATTGATTTCTTCTCCAATCTCTTTCCACCAACCACCAAAAACAGTTGAAACCAATAGATTTTGGATGACGGCAGTTTTGATGAGAAGCTCTCTCAAGGAACATTCATAACTTGAATGGACTGCAACATGTCAGAGACAGCGATCACGAGGTCGCCCGATTTGATCAAATTCCTGGCCTTGAGCAAAGCAAAGGTTTTGTTGAGGTTGCTTTCCATGTCGTCGGAGAAACTTAGGCGGAATGGTATGAGACCCCATTGCAGATTTAGACGCCTGCGCACCGACGTCGTGGAAGTGAAAGCAAATATGGGGCAATCAGGTCGGCAACGTGACAGGAGGGATGCCATATGCCCCGTCTTTGTGTAGACAAAAAGTGCATCCACCTCTAAATTATTAGCTGCCAAATCATACGTGTCACAATCAGGATAAGATTATGCATGCTAATAATGCAGGTAAATAAACTCATAAGATTTTCTAATCTTGTCAGATAACGTGAGCAAAACTTACGAAAGGGTGATAAGGCCTAGAGCCAATAAGAGCTGGGTGTGAGGAATGGTCGGTTGTCTATATAAAAACGTGTACATGTGGAATCATGTCTTGACGTGTGTGTATAATTAGAGTGAAGGAGAGGAAAAAGACGCCTTATAGTGACAAATCCAGAAAATAAGGCTCCTATTAACGTTTTGTGGACGGTAATTCCGCCTTTTGTATTTTATGACATTAAAACCACATTTTTCTTCATATTGATGCTCAGTATTTTAATCCAAATATGAATGGGTTCGATGATACTTGTGAAAAAGCTATAGGGAAAAGGAGACAAATACCCCTTAAAATGCATGGGTCTTGAATTTTTACCCCTTAAACTTGATTAATACCCTTTAGACAAAGAAATATATTAATCAAAAGGGTATTAATCAAAAGTAAAGGGTAAAAATCTTAGAACAATGCATTCAAAAGGTGAGTTCATCAATTTTCTCAAAACCTACAGCTGAAAGGTTCACAACAGAAGCAGCCCAAACGTTTTATATAAGATTCTCTTTTGGAGGCTAACGGCTGATGGGCTATACTGCATTTTGAGAAAAGTATTATCGGCCCATATCAAAGAAGTATTGCAGTGTGCTGATGCTAAGCCTAACCAAGGCTATCAAGCGAAATGCTTACCCATCTTTGCTATCCTATCATAGAAAAAAAAAAAAGATTCTATCCTATATCAGGTGATATGCTTACCCATCTTGGCAGCAGAGTTGCAAATCTCCTCTGAAATACTGTCTGAAAATGAAGAGCCAATGTCCGGGAGTTCCATAGGTTCATGGCGTTTCTCGTCCCTCCACCACTTCTCAATTCTCAGGCTAACACTTCTGAGGACAGCCAATGCCTTCTCTGGGTACTGGCCCATGGCTGACTCACCAGAGAGCATCAGCGCATCTGCTCGCTGCCTAACTGCCTCAGAAACATCAGCCACTTCAGCTCTAGTGGGCGTGGGGTATTCAATCATCGACTCAAGCAGCTGAGAGGCAACAATGACTGGTTTATTTAACTGCCTGCAAACTTGCACGATCGTTTGCTGGGCTGCAGGGACCTGTTCCAATGGTATCTGGGCACCTAAATCTCCTCTTGCTACCATAGCTCCATCCGATGCTTGAATGATCTCTTCTAAGTTCTTCAAAGAGTCGATACTCTCTATCTTTGCAATGACGGCAATGTCGCTGTTCAATAAACACCAAAAACTCCATTATCCTCAAAGTCAAAAGGACAATGGCCCGTTTAGCATTGTCGTTGACAGGTACTTTAGATTGTTAGTTAAGCAAGGTGTGGGTGTTTGGTTTTACCCAACAGCTTGTAAAAATTGCTAGCCAACATCAAAATTTGAGAAGTAGAACAACGGGTTTATTCTTGAACAGATCTATTTTGATCATTTAAACTTACTATAATATCCTTAATAGTAAATAACAATTCTAAACTTTGACCATTTGAATAAAAGTAATTTGTTTCTCTTTAAATATAATAGAGATAACAAAATTAAAACTACTTTTTTTAGAATTCTGGTGTATAAAAATTATGAATGTTGACCTTAATATAAGTATGAAAAGCTAAAACTATGAATGTACATACAAATATTTCATTATTAAATGAAAGCAAAACATGTTTAATGTTTATTTTGTTATTATACATTCACAACAATTTAACAGTTTACCAAACACCTAAACATATTCACAGCAGTTCTTAAAAAGAAATTTACCAAACTCCTACCTACTTCTGATCATAGTTACTTTTTACTAACAACACAACTAATAATTAATATTTTATTAGGACAACAATGCCAAACATTATATATCATGACGGAGACTTAGAACAAACTAACAGAACATGAGTTTGCACATACACATGGGAAAAAACACATGACACAATATTAATCTCTGAAACTTATGTAACATACAAATAGAATACAATAGTATTGAAATAAATCTACTTGGTCAAAATGGGGGCAAAACCAACATACAAGAAGAATCTTGTTCAGTTTTTCTTTTCTTTCATAGATAAATAGACATAGAAATTTCACCAAAACCAAGGCAAAATGCAGATAAACAGATGCATATTGAGAGCGATTGAATGTTCAGTTTCTCAACAATGTGAGAATGTTACCTGTCACGAGATCTTGCAGCAATGTAGCTTTTAAGATGATTGATCACTTCAGCAGATTTGACAAATGATATGGCAATAAAGTCAACACCCTCTGCAATCCCAAAATCAATGTCCAGCCAATCCTAAACAAAACGAAAGCTTGAGTATGAGATAAAAGGACTCGTTGTTACCATAAAAAATGCTTCCCCAATAATAACATCGTAATTTGATGCGCCAATTATTTGTGAATCATAAGAGCATATAAGGCGATGATTCAAAACTACCAAAAGTGTATTACTTTAAAGTGATGATGCAAAGTACCAAAAAGTCTAGTCATGAAGTCATTTTCGCTCATTTAAAAAGAAGTAAAATTTAACTTAGTAATCTTGTGGAACACCATATTCTTTAGAGGTAAAAGAAATTTGCTTCTATTGACAACATTTGTGTGTTGGTGTCAAAGTGGACAACACATTCTTTTTTTTTTTTTTTTCCCTTCATGAAGTAAATTCATTAGCAATACATGACAGAGAGGATGCATATCACTGAAAGAGTTTATGAGCATACTTGGAAGGATAGTCATGAAATTGAAAACTTGATAAGTTAAAATTGCCATGTGTTTATACAGGACATAACGACTATACATCACATCTCTTAGCGTCTAAATGCATTTCCAGACTTCGGTTAGTTTAGAAAATGAATTTCGCGAGGAATGAAGAAAAGATGAACTGACCTTAGAAGAAATTGTGGGGAGCATGGCATTACGTTCTCGTACCAAACTCCCGTCCCTCCAGAACGTCAAATTAGCCCGAGGAAGTAATAGTCCAGGATCAGTACATAGGCACTTAACATCTGGACCAATCTTCTCTATCACTTCAAACCTAACCATTCCACCATCCACCAAGAGTTCGTCACCCACTTTTACATCTGCATCACAAAACAAAACACCTCACTTGATATATATTTGTTCTTCACTGATAATTTATTAAATAACTCCTATGTGTGTGATGCTTGACAAACACAACGATGGGCATAATTTAGTAAGAGAAAAAGAAAATGCATACGCTTTTGACCAAGACAATTTATATACCTTCGGCAAAACCATCATAATTGACGTTGATGGTGCGTTCCGGTTGAGTTGAATCAAAAGCTCTAACACTAAAAGTCCAGACTTCACCATCCTGCACATAAAAAGAAAACAGACATGGTAAGGTCAATATGAAATACTTGAAGCTCTAGAGATAAAACAAAGAACTTTGCACTGCAACAACTCATCAGCACTCGTAAAGCTCAGTGTCAATCGTACTAACAGTGGCAGTGAAAATATTCGATTTGTCAATGCAAGCAAAGTAAATTTACGATCAAAATCTTTAAAATGACATAAGTTCAATTGAGAATCTCTCCTACTACTGAATGAACGTCAAATGAACTAGCCCGCTCAAAATGGTGATGACAAAGGAGTAAAATACTAAAAAAGACGAAAGTTCCAGAAGAAAAAAACTCGGAACAGTATCTAAAGACCGTTCACATTCCATGTGCAACGCTTGCATTATCTTAAACCAACCCTCTCTAAAACACACCAAAGAGAAACCATGTAGCAATGAGCAACAGAGAGATTTCACCAAGAAAACTCCCATGCAAAAATTCAACTCGGTAATGAAATTAATTCGATCAATAACTTAGACCTACACGCATCAGAACATACGGGAAACAAAACTATAATTTAGCAATGCAAGCAAAGCTAATTCACGAAAAAGTTTTCCATTTTCAGATAACAAAGTTTATCACGATCTCGAGGCCAATCAATATTCAATACTTATAATTCTACGCGACCAAAAGAAATTCCAACAGTTCAATTATAATGCACTAAAAAACAAACAACAATCAAAATTTCACGAAAATGAATGTTCCAAAAAACGAAAGGATTTGCAAAATTAATTTTTTTCTTTTTTACCTCGGCCTTGGCCGAAGAAGCTCCTCCGAGATCTCCCATGTGAATCTCACTCCCTTCAGTGTCCATCATAATGGCGACGGCGTACCCTTTCTCCTCGTTCAGCCTCCGAACCCTCTCGATCACCCGCCGATGCCACTCCCTCGTGCCGTGGCACATGTTGATCCTCGCCACGTTCATCCCTCCCACCGCCAGCGCCTCCAGCTGCTCGAACCCGCACGTGGCCGGTCCGATCGTGCACACCAGCTTCGTCCTCCTCGTGCTCCGGAAGCCGTTCTCCTTCAGCTCCACCTCCGTCACCGCGTCGACCTCGATCGAGCTCGAATCGGACGAAACAGCCGCCGGCGCCGGAGACAACGCTCCACCGGCGCCGCCGTTTTCGGAGACCAGCACCGGCGAGGGTTCGAGATCTGACGAGGACGAGGCCTTGATTGCGAGCTTGGGGAAGGCGGTGACCGGGAACCGGCGGCGACCGGGGAGGAGAAACGGCTTTAGGTCGGAGTAGCTGTGGCCGTTGGGGAGAGGTTGGTGGTTGGGTGACCGGCTACAAGAGGTGAAGAGTTGCAGAGACTGCGACATTGTAGTGAGAGATAGAGATAGAGAGAGAGAGAATTGTGTAGAGAGAGAGAGTATTTTCGAGGTTTCTTTATAGAGAGAGAAAGAGAGTTACAGAGTTTTAGCGGAGATTACAAAGACGAAGAGAAAATGTGTGAGCTTTGGAGCTTCGAAGATGTCGCCTTGGAGTGAAACTAGAAGAGAGAGAGAGAGAGAGAGAGAGAGAGAGAGAGAGAGAGGGGGAAGAAGACGACGGCTAAGAAGAGGATCTGATGGGGGTGAGCTACAGGGATATTGCTTACGTGGAGGGATTTTATTGGGTCAAACGATGGAAATTAGAAAGACGGATGTGGTTTTGGAAAGGTGTTCTGTGAGGTTGAGCTGTCTGGGATTGTGGCCCTGGATGGAAGTGGATTTTAACAAGTTTCTGATTTACGTGGTTGTACACGTGGATGGGCCAGATGGATTTGAGTTTTTGTTTTACGATTATTTATCCGAACTTTCTTTTTCTTCTTCTTTCCTTTTTTAGATCGAATCCGTTGGGTTGAAAGATTTATTATCTGATTCGAATCATAGTTCATAGTTTATTATAGTATTTTTTCTCATAAAAAATACACGTAAATTGAAAATAATTTTAATCTCATGATTCTAATCCATGAACCAAACGGACCTTATTTTTTGGATTAGATTTCTCTTTTTGGCATATGGTTAGGCTCGGTTTGATTCGTTAATTTAAATTTTTAATTTGAGTTGAGATATAATTTTATGTGAGAGTTTTTTATTTTAATAAAAAATTAGGTGTGACTGTTTCTGAAAGTTTTTTATTGTAGTAAAACTCAAATTTTATAACAATTCTAAACTCAAATTTGTGAAATAAACGGGGTCTTAACCTTTTTATTTTTATTTTTTTTGTTGAGAATATGCTTAGCAAATTGAATCTATTATAATGCTCTGCCTAATTATATGTACTGCAATGTGACAGGGTGGTGGTGGAAGAGATTAAAAGACAATAAGGAAAACGACATATATTGTAAATACGACAGCAAACTTAGATCCACATAAAACCTACGACAGACAAACATATGGAGTAAAACATTAACATAATTCATAGTAAGACATATATCAGGAAAACGACAACAAACTTGAGACGAAGAAAAAGTTTAAAACATTTTGAACCATAAAAAAACGGCAAACAACTTGAAGACAGCCACACGAAAGAAGATTAAAAAGACGACATAAAACAAAGTAACAACCTTAAGAAACGACAAGAACAATGTACAGCAGGGAAAACAAAATATCGTGAAAAACGACAACAACATGAAAAAACAACTTAACATCCACGAAAAAAATACTAAACAACACCAAACTGTAAAACGGACACATAGAGGCAATAACAGCATGAGAAGTATAAAAGACAGCCATAAAAACCATAAATTTTGATTATTAACGCAAAAAAAAAAAAAAACGGGCATAACAACAAACGAACACAAACACAAAAAACGACATAGCCGAGAGAAATGACGAAAGTCTACGACAACAATGAGAAAGAAACAAAGGTGAGAGTGAGCCTAGTAGACTACCGTAGTTACAACTGCCTATAAACGGCGTTAAAGAGAGACACGATACCAGAAAAGACCCAAAAAAAAAAGAGTAACGAGAAATACGGCATAAAACAGAATAAAGGACATGTGCTTGAAAACGACAGAAATCGTGAAAAACGAAGACATCAATAAAAAATAAAAATAAAACCATTGGAAGAGAGAGGCCTCATTCGTCTCCTGTCGGCTGTCTCTCGTTAGTTCGAATAATAACTTTAAATTTTTATAATAGTATTTACTCACAAAAATTTAAATTTAAATTTTATTATTATAATATTTTTTTTATATAAATTTATTTTTTAATTTAAATTCTCAATTCGAACGAGCAAAACCACAAACATGAAACTAGTGCTGGAACTTTGGACGGGCCGCCCGCGACCGCCCGAAAAGCCCGAGGATTTGCCCGAGCCCGAACCCGACCCGCCCGAGATTTTGGGGCCGCCCGCCCGAGCCCGAATTTCACCTTGAACGGGCCGCGGGCTTGTATTCGGCAGCCCGAGCCCGCCCGAATTGCCCAAATTTTTTAAACTTTTTTTTAATATTAAGTTATTTATATATATATATATATATCAATA